TAAGGCATGTTTTTTTATTAATTCCATTAGTTCTTTCTTAAATTCTTCAGGACACACATTATTTGGTTGTTCTTTAGGGAACCAAGTTTGGTCAATAAAAGAAAATTGAATGTGCGCCTCGTATGCCTTTTGAGCTGAATACTGGCTTCCCCGGGCTTTTTTTTCTTTTATTTTACGCTCAACTGCCCGTTTCATATGCCAAAGGCATAGATGTATCACCGCATGAGGCCAAGCTTCTTGAACGGCATTGATCTCTCCGGGATCTTTATCCAGAAGAATAAAAGCCGGTAGAATTCCTTCGTTATGCAGGCTAATAAAAAATTCTTTAAGTACACCAACTCGGTTATATACTTCATTACCAGGATTTGAAAGCAGTTCTTCTGACGCTGAATACGTGTCTAGATATAAATACGCGAGAGGAAGGCCGTATCCACCGCAATTAGCATTTACCTAAATTATAATATTATATGTTAATTATTATAATTATTTTTATGGTGATTTTTTAACAAAGTAACTTCGTTAGCAAATATAGAATTATAGTAGTTTAGATTCTAAACTACTACAATTCTATATTTGCTGACGAAGCTACTTTGTTAGCATAGGGTTTGGACCCGTTAAGAATATCTTTACCTGGATATTGTTAGATTACCCGGGTAAGTTATTATATGTTTTGGGGTTATATGATAGGTTTGGAATTCAATTGAGTTAGGGATTAAGAACAATTTTATTATGGGAAGGTTTTGAAATTTTACCAACAAGTATGACAACTACGACTCTTATGTTAATTAAAATTTGATTGACATACCACAAAAAGTTCAAAACGTTCCTGATTCGTTTTGAACGTTGAATCAATAATAACCTCGGTGATATCTTCTCGTAGGTTTTGTAAATTTTGAAAGAACGGAGTAACGAATCCAAGCGAGCGCACGAAGTCATTTTCTCTATATTGAACTACCTTATATCCTTCGTTTATTAATTCCCACCGTTCTAGAAAATTTTTCGCAGATTTTACTTGATTCACGACATCTGTGATATACCGCATTCTTGAAAGTTTATGCGTCCAATAATATACCTGCTGGTATGTATGTAATGATGGATCGATTAAGTTTTCATTTTGAAGACGTTTATAAACATCGATATTTCGCCAATTTTTGCTCATATTTTGCTTTAACCATGTGATAGCACCTAGATATATATATTAAAAAAAAAAAAAAACAATTATAAAGCATTATAATCGCATTGGGAAATTCTATTTTCACCCGGGTTAAAATAGAATTTCTCAATAGCATTACTAAAATTGATATTATATTTTACCTATAGGTAAATTTGATTCTCGGTAAGTGGGACGTTCATGCGCTAAATGATATACAGTTATTATTGCCTGTTGTTCACATAAATCTACTTTGATTGTTATAACTCCATTACACGAGAAACGCTTGATGGGAGGTCTAGCTTCACTTATTTTTTTTACAGGTTGGTTGTCTGGTCGTTTATATTGGCGATCAGTTCTTTGTGTACAGCCAAGACGGGCTGTTGCACATCCTATATACTGGCCGTTCTTTGTATTAATATATAGATTTCGAAGCTCCCAGTAGTACCCCGATCCTTTATGAAGAGGTATGAGAAATGTTTTAACGATGGTATGAAATTTATCTTTTATTTGCTGATCAAGTTCCAGGGAAAAATTTTCTT